AACCTTTATTAAATATCGTAAATGAAGCATTACAGGGATTTACTCATAATAATTATAATAATTACTATTTTGAGATACTTCATATAATAATAATTATTTCGAATAATAATAAGTAATTATTATTATGAAACACGAAAGGGTTAGACTTTAAGTTTCGTGTAAATCTTGTAAATAAAGTACTATAGGGATTTACCCATATGATAATAATTAAAATGTAAAATTTAATTTACGTGCAATAATTCAAATTATTATTATAGGAGTAAATCCCTGCAATACTTTATTTACAATATTCACATAAATCTTAGAATTTAACCTTTTCGTGACCAGTCGGACGCACATGTTCCACTCGAGTACTACTCGGCTGAAGATTTATCTTAATTAATGGTAATCATTATCGTAAACGTAAACAAAGTTCCACTGGCGTACAAAGCGAGTGCGCAATTTTTGCACACCGTGTCGCGGTTGAATACGCAAAGATCGTACTTATATCAAATTGCCTGCGTAAAAGATTCTCTGAATCATTATTTATACGCAACACGAAAGAGCGTATATTCCAAATCGCGAAGTTACAGTTGGAAAGATTCGGTCGTTTAAATATTCGCGTGAAAATTCATCAGACACACGATGACGTTCTGCCTACGGGGTGTTCGCCTAGCCGCGAAATTCTAATTCGCAAAACTGGCACGTTCTACTTAATCCAACGTAACGTCCGTCATTGACGACACGATCCACTATAAATAGATTTTATCATGAATAATCCTCCGGTGTCGCGCGCGTAGAGTCGTGTCGCGTTTATTGGTGAACGCGAATGAAATATATTCCCGGTCGCTCCTCTAACTACCTGGGAAACTCGTTGATCTTCCTTCACCTACAGGGTGTCCTATTTGTCACCGACCGAACTTTGTCGGCATATTCTACGGATATTGGAGAGAGAAAAGTGTTGCATAAACATGAGTCGTCGTTGAAGCTTTGTTAAAAAGTTATTACATCTTCATGTACAGGGTGTCCCATTTTTTCTGATCGAACTGTGTCAGTACGTTCTATGGGTATAAATAAGAAAAAAGTGTTACGTAAACATGAGTCGTTTGAAGCTTTGTTAAAAATTTAGAACACCTTCATATACAGAGTGTCTCGTTTTTTTCTGATCAAACTATGTCAGTATGTTCTACGGGTGTAAGTAGGGAAAAAGTGTTACGTAAACATGAGTCGTTTGAAGCTTTGTTAGAAAGTTAGAACACCTTCGTCTACAGGGTGTGCTATTTTCTATCATTACCATTCTCTTTGTATCTCGTATTATTGTTGTAACTTGTTAATGAAGCTTCCAGCGACGTATGTTTATATAACATTTTCTTCTCAGCTATCCTCGTAGACCGTACTGGAGAAGTTTGATCTGAAAAAATTTTGGACACCCTGTATATGTTTCTCTTCCTACGCTCGAGACGGTCATTAATGAACGAACATTGATCCTTGTTAATACGCTTAGCGTTACTAGAAGGTTTCACCATGAACTGACTGAGGTCCGTTCATAAAATATATAGGTCACTGTATGTACACTGGCGTTGATAAGTATTGGGACACCTATTATGTTCGTACAGAAAGTATCATACGATTTAAGTTACACTTCTTCGCCAAACCTTGGTATCGTATCGTCCCCTCAATACTACACCTAGGCACATCTTAAACTGATTAATAGAGCGATCGGGGTCATTATCGAGCTTTAGATTTGAATATCAAGTTCATTTTGAACTTATCCACTTTTAATATTTCCAAATACTGCTAGAGCGGCCCACCTTTACCACAGTCGCAACAAAAATACGACTTCTGATGCACTTATCCAGAAAATGTGAATTTACGAAAAATAAGGAAGGAAGTGCAATGAAAAAAGGCAAAATTTAATTACTGCCCTTTTTTAGCACTTACGAATGTCCACCCTTACCACAGTCGCAAGAAAAATACGACTTCTGATGCACTTATCCAGAAAATGTGAATTTACGAAAAATAAGGAAGGAAGTGTAATGAAAAAAGGCAAAATTTAATTAGTGCCCTTTTTTAGCACTTACGAATGGAGTGTGAATTGTCTAGTGGTAGTATTAAGGTGGCGTTATGTCAGTCGAAGTATATATGCTTCTTTTATTACGAGATTATTCTGAAATTAATAATATTCTTTTTTTTTTTAATCGTAATAATTTTGTATAATAATAACAGTTTATATTTAGTTCACGTTCAACGAGTATACTAATACTTACGAACGGAATTGTATTTGCAATTAGTGTAGGAGGCATGCTATACTCGTATAAAGAGAACGTACGACGACTGGAAATGGAATCATTTTGGGAAATATAAGGGAAACGTTCGTGGGTTTCGATTGGTTTAATTGTTTAGAGAAGAACGGTGCTCGATGCTGATTATCTAATCTGCTTAATTGCAGACGTTAATTATCTTATCTGCGCCAGATGGAATCAAATAACCTTTTAATTGCGCCTAAAAATAAGATTGTGTAGCTGGTTGGTGTGGTAGAAACGTGGGAGAATTATCGAAATATTGAGAAGTGCAAGGAATTGTTGAAATTCTAATGTAGAGAATATTCATAAAAACTTCAGATATGGATAATAAAGTAGAAAGATTCTGAATGTGCTATATTTAGAAGAATCAATTTCAAATTTCATCTTAACTTAAGATCTTTTCGCCTGTCGCCGGGGGTTTTTCGAGATTTTCGGGAGATCATAAATTGTGAACTTCTGCTAATCTCAATAGTTCTCAATCCTGTCCCTCCATTTTCACGCGAATTTCGGGATATATGTAAATAAATGCAAAAT